TTAATTTCAATCTCCATTAAATATTTCGGAATTATAATTTAGAATATTTGAAAAAGTTTGATCTTCGGTAAGAATACGACGAAAACAATTCCTATTTTCAATTCCTCTTCGGCGGAAGGGATGAAGTCCTTGTAAGTCAAAGTCCTTGTAGTCAAAGTCCTTGTAAGTCAAAGCCCTTGTAGTCAAAGCCCTTGTAGTCAAAGCCCTTGTAGTCAAAGTCCTTGATTCATTGAATTCATTTTTAAAAAAAGGGACAAGCACATTCGTCGTATTTTGAGGAATATATCGCCTTCGAACGCTGCGCGAAATGTTGCAGAGACTGGACGAGTCGACGGATGTGATGTACGCGGTGATGCGCGAGTTCAGCGCCCTCGTGCCGTGCCGGGACAGCGCGAACCTGAGGAGATACGCCGAGACCGATTCCGGGGTCCACATCCTCGCCTACAGGACCATCGAGATCCCCGAGGTCCCGCCCGTCAAGGGCGTCGTCAGGTGACAAAGCCCATTCGTGGATCATCTTTTTGCTCAGGGTTTTGTCATTTCGTGGAACCTGCGAGTTGAATTTCACAAGATAATGCACTCAAGTAGCACTATGAAGTTATATGTTAATACATTAATAATACCTTAATACATAACATGTACGGTATTTTTAATACCTCCCCGATTCTTTGCATCTGTTCTTCCAAAAGCGACATATGCGTCTTATGTACTTGCTCCTCCTTTTCATAAATGTTCACAATTTCATGAATTTCAGGTTTCACGCATTATGTTATGCATATCAACGAGATCTTCCACGCTAAATATATTTTCTCTGAAATACAGGAAAATTTTGCTTCTTTCGAACTCTTCTCTGAACCGTTTCCCTGGTCTGCCATTCTCCCCGTGTCTGCCTTCCGATATGCTCCCAGGTTCGAGAACTTCCACAGCTGCTTCGCGTTCTGGGAGGTGGAGGGCAGCGCGGAGATGACGAACTTCGCGTGGATGATGAACATGGACTACAAGCTACCGAGCCTCGTGCCCTCCAGCGTCTTCA